AACTCCAGATTTCTGTCTGTCCTCAAAGTAGTTAAGTACAAACTTGCATTCTTGGTTGTTCTGTATCATACCTTTCAACTGCCTTTATACTGGGAGGCAATAAAGACCAAGGTATAATGGGGACCATGCAGATCTCTACCACAGCTAAAGATCTGCCTTTCTCAAAGCTCAGTAAAGCTCTTTAAGTCATTATGGGTGTGAGGGAGCTGGTCAGTATCCATCTAACCCCTTGGTGCTCATCAGTTACGTAAGATTTTTAAAACAAGGCTTTGAAGAAATGATGAAAATGAAATTGAGGTGTTGAGACGAGGGAACTCAAGACCTCAGATGGAATCAGTCAAATGATGCCCATATTCTCCACTCTGCTCAAACTATTGCTCTTGAGAATAGTTCTTTAGTGTTTATAAAGCAGTCTTTCATTACATCTTTTATCTCATTTTATTTCTGCAACAGAACTCTGAGATAGATCTTATATTAATAGTCCTATTTATAGATGAAGAAACTGAAGCTCTAAGATGCTACTTAGCTCCCTACTACGTGGTGGCACTGACAGTCAAACCAAGGCCTTTTAATTATGAATCCCATACATTATTGACTCTTCCTGTAGTTTATAATCTGAGCCTTTTGACTTTCTATCTAATATATTTCAACCATTCCAGAATTACCTGTCAAATTAATACAAGCAACAGCACTGATACAGCATTACCTATGTACTAAGCTTGATTCTAAGGGCTGTGCATAATGTTTATCAGTCTTCCAAACATCCTATGAAGACACTGAACCACTAATTCATAATGTGACCTTGAAGAAATGACTCAACCTTTTTGAGCTTCAGTTCTCTCCTCTGTAAAATGAGTAGCTTGGGCTAGAACAAAGATGGCAGATGGATTTGAATCGATATTCCAACTCTGACCAATTGGTCATAGCTGCCTAAAGAGTTGTACGGAAAAGTATTCTGAGGCCAAGTTGCAGCTTATCAGTAAGGAGGACAATGATCAATTTGTGATGCCTATCAACTGCAAGGAATGAGGGAGTGTACAACGTGTGCTACATATTTGCCATCTATGAACCACATGATCCCCAAAGGTTTTCTCAGCACTAACATTCTGTATCTCCCAAAACCTTATTCTTACTAATCGTCATATGCAGGCACTAAGCACTAAATGTAGAATATTAAATGTACTGCCACTGGCCTTCACTTCCCTCCTCTCTGTTCTAGCTTCCAAGAGTTCCTAAAAAACAACTTGCTTTTCCCTATCATTAAGACATATTAGGATTTTATTGACTTGCTTCTAGATTACACAGACGGTGTTTTCATAGAGATGCTACAAAGTCCTCTGCTAAGTCTCTGACAAACGCATAAGTCCACACACAGCACTGTGCTGCTCTCCCACTTTCAGCCATGCATTTGCCAAAACAAGACCAAGAAATAGTTTGTACCTTTTTCGTCAGCTGTTATTTCTAAGTGCCAACACCTCCTGAGCAAAGAATAGAAAAACTACGAAGGATGACTCTTTTATGGAGATGACACAGCAGCATTTACAAAAAGAGTTGGTGTTTACAGATGGAGCACCTTATGGCCTCTCAGTGACTCTGACCCAGGTTCAGCTCCTATCTCCACCACCCATTCTTGTTCATTTATATGTTCTACCCCTACCTCATAACCCCTACAGAGAACTCTATACCTCTTGCCCTTTTGAGAATGCAGTATATTCAACAGAGTCAAAAATATATGGTTTTAAATCTTGACTCCATGGCTTACTAGCTGAGAAAATGGAGAGGCCCATTAACATCTCAGAGCCTCAGCTTCTTCATCTATAAAATGGGGATCATCAGGGTACCTACCTCAAAAGATATCCAGCCAACACCAACCCACCGCTGTCGAGTTGATTTCAACTTCTATCAACCCTTTAGGACAGAGTAGAACTGCCCTATAGGGTTTCCAAGGCTGTAAATCTTCACAGAAGCCAACTGCCACATCTTTCTCCTATGGAGCAGCTGGTGGGTTTAATTGCCAACCTATCAGTTAGCAACCAAGCACTTAACCACTGCACCACCAGGGCTCCTCTCAAAAGATGTGGCTGTGAGAAACAGAAGCCAATGGGTAAAATGCCCTACCGACATGAATTCTCTTTCCTTCATTGCTGTGATTTTGTTTTTCTCCCTCTCACTGTCTCCTTCCCATTACTCACAGGGCTTTTTATTCTTGAACATGAAAGTGAAAATCAGTTTAAGTTGTTGAATTCACAGCAATTATTCACACGAATCTCTGTAACTTCCCAGCAGGCTTCCTGGGTGTTACATAGTACCTGTTACAGGCTCTTCAGCATTGGGATGGGCCTGGACATGGGGTGCTGCAACTGCTATCTGCCAATTCAACTGCTCAGAACCAGAAACACTGCCTTTAAAGTTAGAAAATAAACAAGAAAGCAATGGGTAAACAAACAACTACATAATTCTCTAACAAAATTAAAGCTATGCACTTTGCCCTAGTTTTCTGAATCACAAATTATATACACTGACATCAAACATCTTATATGAAGTTTGCCTTTAGAATGTCCCATCAGAATGATTTGCAAGGCTACCGGAAAGAGACGCCTATGGGAGCATGACATGTTATATTTGTTTAGAGAAAACCACACTTCCCAAAGTGAAATGACCGTATTCACAAATGCACAAACTAGAACCTAAGTTTGGCTTCTTGCTCATCCTGTTTCCCACTACTGAAATCAGAATGAGAATTCACTGACATCTTTCTTTATGTTAAGCATTGGCTGGGTACTGGGGACAGAGTGGTAAATGAAACTCTGTCCTTGCCTTTATGGAGCTCCCAGTATAGTGGGGATTTTAAACATCAATGGATATTTAAAACCTTTGTTATCCTTGGGTAAGTGTTCTCCTCTAATTTATTAATCATACTATGAAGATTGCCCTATAAAGTTACAGTTCAGCATTGTAATGTTATTCTGCCATGCTTCTGTGCCTAAAACTATACTTGTTCCCCAACAATTTCTATACTTCTGAATTCCTATGACCTCTACATGTCTCAGGTTTTTGTGGATAACTGATCAATCACCTTCATTTTGTGGGGGACGTAGGGACTGAAACCTGGACTTTTGTAAATTTCAGTAATTTAGTTTATTAAAAGAAGATCATTTCTTCCCTGAGTACAAAAAATTGTGAATCCTCCTCACATCCCAACCCCCTGTCCAACTGTGAGAAGGTCCCCTGAACATTTCCGGGACAGCCGTTGGGTAGATGCCTATGAAGAGGAGCCTCGTGGCCCGCCCTCTGTGTCTTTAGGAAGCAGCTTGGCATAGTAGTGCCATTCTGAGAGCTGTCCCTGCTTGAGGGTGAAGTAAGATGTGACTTAGGCCTAGGGTATTTCTCACACTTGAGAAACTAAGACCTCACTCTCCGTCCCAGCTACCTAGCCTCTAGGGAAGACATCTGTACTCCACAGCTTTACTTACATATGGCTTAACTTTCCAAAATCAGTTGTCATTATCAAAACCAACTATAAAGTTCACACCTTTTCCTGGTGCGATGACTGTTGAAAGAGGCATACTTGGCACTGATGGACTGTGAATGTGTTTCAAGGGTAGTCAGGATATAAAGCAAAGAGGTTAATTGCCCTTTGAGTTCAGGAGGAACTACCTCATGACTCAGGCTACATACCTTCAGTATAGATTAGTAGATAGAAAGTCGTTTTTGACAGCCCTAAGCTACTTCCTCCTCACCAAAGGGTAGTCAGCCAGAGGCCTAATACAAAGAGCAAAACCTTCTGGGTTTGCAGCTGAAAGGGCTGATCCCATGGCCAGTTCATCAACTAGGTAGCCAGTTCGTCAACTAGGTAAAATAAATGATTGAAAAAATAATTGTCTAAAGTCAATCTGAGGAGCCCTGGTGGCACAGTGGTTAAGTGCTCAGCTGATTATCAAAAGGTAGGTGGTTTGAACCCACCAGCCACTCCGTGGGAGAAAGATGTGGTAGTCTGCTTCCGTAAAGATTTGTTGTTGCTGTGTGCAGTCGAGTCAATTCTGACTCCTAGTGACCCTATAGGACAGAGTAGAACTGCCCCATAGGGTTTCCAAGGAGCAGCTGGTGGATTTGAGCTGCCAGTCTTTTGGTTAGCAGCCAAGCTCTTAACCACTGTGCCACCAGGGCTCATAAAGATTTACAGGTCTGGAAATCCAATGGGGCAGTTCTACTCTGTCTTATACGGTTGCTATGAGTCAGAATTGACTCGAGGGCAGCAGGTTAAAGCCAATTTACCTTCCATGGTTGTTTGCTGACTTGAGGCCCACACTGGAGGAGCTGACACTTTTACTACATTGGCTTTCTTAGTTCTCTTTTCCATATTTTGAGGCATGCTTTAGCAGTAATTATAACCACTGACTTAAGGCACCCCTCAACTTTTGATTCTATTGAATTGACCCACAGAATTTTCCCAATGAAATAATATTAGAGTAAAATCCTTAGCAGTCCTCTACTACATGCTGATGGAGTTTTTGTGTCATACATGAAACTAGCAGACACTTGCTTCTGAACAATGTGCTTCTTTGGGACATAAAATAGAAGATGAAATAAAAGGTACAGACATTCCGATTATGTACAACAAACTATTAGACGGACCCCTCCCTTGAACTAAACAGTTTCCTTTGAGGTAGGAACGCTTGCTGTAGAGGCCATTGTACTCCATATCCCAGTGTCAGAAAGAGAGTAGTCTCACAGGTCATTGCCCTGCCGAATGGCAGATAGCTGGCTGCTAGTCAGTACACAGAGTTATGACTATGGAATGTGACTAGAAAGACAACCTGACTATTGAAATACTGCTGAAGAGTTTTATGAGGATGAAGGGATTTTTGGAATGGTTCAAGAAGAGAGAGCAAGGAAAATTAACCCTGAACCATTGTCTGTTTCCTGTGTATGAGATCAGAGCTTGTAGCTATGGTATACCACTGGTAGTCTATCGTAATTTTCCTTTCTTCTCTTCTCAGGAGGGCAAGAAGACCTCATTCTCTCCTATGAGCCTGTCACAAGGCAGGAAAGTAAGTTTCTGGCATGCTCTGATTTCCAGATCAGAAAAGGTGACACCATTGAAAGATGGAAAGAGTGAAGGCCTAACAGAAATAAACCCTGCTTAATACTCACTTGTCCCCAGGCCAGACCCTGCTCTCTCCCGATCACCAAACAAACAACTTCCCTGCTGAAAGTGGGTAATGACAGCTCCCAAGAAGATGGAGCAGCCCTCCAGAAGAGTCCTTCTCAGTGAGAAGGAGCCCATTAGAATCACCTAGAGAGCCCTGGCTACAGGACCAATGGATGAAAGCCCCCAGGAGACTGACACCAGCTCAGTATTTAGAAGGAATTTCGAGCAGACCCGTCCTAGGATGCAGACCATGTACCAGGAGCCTGCATTCCTTTCCCTTTACAGAGGGGCATTTATAGAGAGGCTAATGACTATTGACAAGGATATTGCAGAAGGAATTCAAGCATCAGATGAGTAGTTGTAACAAATGAACTTTAGAGTTTCTTCTAATCCTATGATATAAAGGAATTGGGAAAAACCCATCACAGCATGGAGAGTATTTTGAGCTGAGAAAAAAAGGAATTATAAAAACATAAGGTGTCATTACTACTAATGTCATTAGAATTACTTGCTGGGTGCCATTGAGTCGGTTCTGACTCATAGCAACTCGACTCATAGCAACTCTTATGCACAAGAGAACAAAACACCGCCTGTTCCTGGGCCATCCTCACAATCGCTGCTACTTACTACTACTAATAATAAAAGTAATAATTACTTTTAAAGTAATTGTCTAAAAAATGGCCAGACAGCTGGTTTGAACTCTTTTACTCCCACTCAGTTGCCTAATTTCAGTAGTTGTTTTGACATCGTGTGGGCATAACCTAAGAGGAAGGAAAACCCCTCCAGATGCTTCTTTTTGTTGACAGACACTGCAAATGCTTATCCCTGTTAATAATTTCAAGAAAGTAGACACAACCAGACATACTGAGAGTTAAACATCAATTCCCCTATGCAGGGCTGTATGGATAATTTATCCAATGAAGTAATGCCCTCAGCAGTTCACCTTAAGAATCACCCTTGTAGGACAGTTTTGCAGTTGTTTCCAAGTCTTTCTCCTCACCTGGATCTTCCTTTTCCTCTCTGCAGTAAACTACACCCGGCCTGTGATTATCCTGGGCCCCATGAAGGATCGGATCAATGACGACTTGATATCTGAATTCCCTGACAAATTTGGCTCCTGTGTGCCTCGTAAGTATTATTTCTCTTTTCGTTAGAGAAAGAAAAAACCTAACTCCTTTCTGAGATGATACAATGTAATTCTGTTTCTCTTCTTGTCTCTCCAGTGACTCAAATACCGTCATTACCTATTATCTAAGCTCCTTATTTAATTTTCTCTGCCTAACACTTTTCATCTATGCTACCTCTGTGTTCTCTGTTTAGTGAGTGTATGTTGTCTCCAACCTGACTGTGATCCCCTAGAGGGCAGGGATGGATGGATCCACTTTCTTTGTAACCCCCACAGCATTTAAAACAGCATAGGCTTGATGATGGGCATCAGCATGTTCTGATGGATTAACTGAAGTGCCACTGAAGCAGCTTCTTCCATAGAATGTAAGAGATCAGAAACAAAGCCATATATTAAAATTATCTTAGGATGATTGAGGACCATGTGTCCATCCAAAACCAAGTGGCCTTTCCCATACGTTTTAGCAGCCCCAGGTGTTGGAACGATGAAGACAAGAAGGTTTATAAAACTTTAATCTGCTCTCTAAACCAATACCAATTTTAATCTGCTCTTTTGGTCATTACAGACAATCATCTGGTTTCCTGGTATCCCAGGGGGTAGGCCTGTAAGGTTTTATCTGCTCTACCTCATTTCCTCCACTGTACTTCCCCCAGCCAGCCACCCCCATCTTCACCCCCACTATGTCACACAGAAACGCATGAAGACCTTTTGCTGTGTGTGTCGACAAGCCTTCTAGGAAATTTTAATTTATTAGATACTTGGGCTCTTAAATCTGATCCCAACAAATATGTCTCTCAGACTCTACATTTTTTAAGCTTTATGCTTTCAAATGTCACTCACATTAGTACTGCAAGTACCACCTGGAATACATAAGAATAGCAGGAGTTACAAGTGTGCAGGACATGAACAAAAGGAAACTCGGATGCTGTATCTCATGAAACTTCCCAGTGAGGGCTCTGGGAAGCGTACCTGCTGTAGAACAGATTGTGAGAAGGTCTTCAGGTAGGAGCAAGCATATCAAACCCTAGGTCATTTGTAGCAGCTTCTAGTTTATTCCTCCGCTTTTGAGAGACAGAGAGCAGACAGTTCCTAAATACCCTTTGCATTTTCCCCTTGCACCTTGCACACTCTTTCCTCTTTTTTTAAATTACTAGCACTATTTTACGATGATCAATACATGCTTATTGTACAAAGCCTGAAAATGCTAAAATGAAAGTTAAGTAAGAAAATAAACAATATCCAAAATCACACAGAGTACCAAGAGATAACATCACTGTTAATATTTTGGTGGATTTCCATCTACTCTTTCTTTCTATGCATGCATTTTTTCCACGGAATTGTACACATATATTAGATATATACAATAGTAGATGTATATAATTTTTTTTGCTCAACATTATTTAAAACTTTACGTAGATATTTTAATAATTATTATACCATAATTAACTTGCATTTATGGACATTCTGGGTTTTCTCTATTATAAATTGTAATTATGACATATTTAAACTGTATTTTATAGTTATCATTTATAATACATAAATTAATATAATAAACATCTTTAAGGATATAACAAGGATAGAATGTCATCTGATTTTTTTTTTTATCAGTTTTTATGATAGGTTCCTAGAAAGAGAATAGCTGAGTCAAAGATTGCGAATATTTTAATATCTTTATTTTAGACTGTTTTCACCTTTTCTTCTCACCAAGAAGTTTAGGTAGAATGGTTAGAATTGGTGACTTTTAGTCCCACCTTAACTATGATGATCTCATTTTATGCATTTTAAAATCCTTGAATACATTTATAATAGCTATGTCTATTTTTCCTCCTGGTTATGGGACACATTTCTCTGCTTCTTTGCATGTTCCATAGTCTTTCATTGTGTACTATGTTCTTGAGAGTCTGGGTTTTGTTATTTTCCCTTATAGAATATTGAGGTTTTGTTCTGGCAGGCAATAATTTACTGACAGATATGCTAGTTCTAGTTGTAACTTGTTTTTTTACCTTTGTTAAAGTGGGTCTAGAGTAACCCCACTCCTAAATCATGGCCTTTCTAGGATCTCAACCAAATGCCCGCTTCTGGCTGATGAGAACTCCAGTGTGTCCTAACACTGTGTAACTTGCAGAATCTCCCTTTGGAAATGGCCCCTAGTCAGAGAGGGGAGGTGAATGTAGAGCTCTATTGGTGTGTTTCTCTTTTCTCAAGGATCACAGCCCTGCACTGCCTGTTGTTCGATACCTGAAAACAGTTGTTCCATATATTTTGTCCAGTTTTGTAGTTGTTTCTATTCAGAGGGTAAGACTAGTACCAATTACTATGTCATGATTAGACCAGAGCTCCTTCGTATTACCTATTTTTAAACATCTATATTGAGGATGCGGTAGAAAAACAGGTGCAAAGGAAGGGAGAATGTATGGGCATAAACGGATCTTAATTTCATTATTTCTTGTTTTATAAAGATACTACAAGGCCAAAACGTGACTACGAAGTGGATGGCAGAGATTATCACTTTGTCATTTCCAGAGAACAAATGGAGAAAGATATCCAAGAGCACAAGTTTATAGAAGCCGGCCAGTACAATGACAATTTATATGGAACCAGCGTGCAGTCTGTGAGATTTGTAGCAGAAAGGGTACGTTCACCAATCTTCTTACACCTCCCCTAAAGAAGACTCGGAGGTAGAAAATTGCATTTTTGTTCATCGTTCTTTCCTAATTGCAGTTGTAAATTTTGATTAAATATTCCTTTTAAGATATCCAAGCAGAGAATCGTCTTAGGGCAAGGTCCTTAATCATTGTTCAATAAAGTATGCTGGCTGAGTTAGGGGAAGAGGGGGTGGCAATAAACCTAAAGGCAATTAACAGCTTGAAGTTTATGAAGATTTACTCTGTCCTTGATTTGATTACCTAAGGCTCCAGTAAACAACGCTAAATTTATTAAGGAAGCTTTGTTCTTTTTGTTGTTTAGATCCAGATTCTCAATTCCTTCTACTAGGAGGAGTTACTTTTTTATCTCTCTAAAGACTTGAGAGCCTCATGGTGGAAACGTAGATAGATGGGGAGGGCTGCCGAGCCTGTTACTGGCAGAAATTCTAAATCAGAGGAGATGTAGCTGCTGTAATTCCCTCCTAGTGATAATTTCTGGAGTGTGGCAAAGAGAACAATGCTCAAGAGAGGATAGGATATGAATGTACTTGAGTGTGGCTTTAAGATCTGCCTGTAGAGAGATCCTAGGTCTCTGGGTGGTGCAAATGGTTTGCACTGGACAAATCCATTCAGCAGCACCACAGAAGAAAGGCCTGGTGAGCTGCTTCTGTTAAGATTACAGCCAAGAAAACCCTATGAAGCAGTTCTACTCAGTAACACATGGGGTTGACATGAGTCAGAATTGATTCAACAGCAATGGGTATAGAGAGATCCTAATCTCCTGGGAACACAGAGAACCCTATTTCATATGAGAAACAAAAGAGTTATTAGCAATCATATTTGTTATATAATTAGTATTTGTTCGGTTTATTTGATTTGACTTGACCTCCTCCTCCTCCTCTTCTGATACACTGATAAAAAAGTTAAACAGGGTCTGTAAAGTCTATCAGAGAACATACTAAAGAAGTTACATCTAAAAGTTAGGGCCTATTAACTATATCGATATTGTTTCTAGTGAGAGCTTCCTGGATAATTGCATCTACTCTCCTCTTTCAACATATAAACATAAACGCTGTTAACTTGAAAAGTTCTGGCTAGAGAATAATCACAGTACTTGGACATTTTATATACCTGTTGGACCTCACAGCAAACTTGGAATGTATTACTTAAGTGCTAAAGGCTTGAACCATCTTATTGTGTTTCTCACTTAAGAAAATATGTCTGTTACTTTATAGCCAGATCATGAATATCTGCCCAACTTAAGAGTTCCGGTATTCACTGGACTCTATTCATTTTCATGTGAATATTATACATACGTTTATTCCCTGTTAATGATTTTGGACTATTCCCATCTGCATAATAGGCTTTTTCTCTTCTTGCATAAAGTTCTTCTAGCCTCAGGGTAATGAGGCCATTTCTCTCCAGGAGGTAGAATATGATTTGGCAAATGCATCTACTTTTCCAGAAGTACTTAAGTATTTCTTGCTCTGAGCACTCACTGCGGTGGAAACCAAGTTAAATGAGGTGTGCTATAACGTAATAGAGCTTTACTTGTTAACAAACAAGAAATTTACATACTCTGTGCATGCCTTTCTCAAAGCATTTAACCATATAATATTTAAGGTATCTCTTTTGTGTCTGTCCTCCACTAGACTGAGCGTATTGAGGGCAGGGCACATACAAGCACTCAGCCAACATTTGTGTTTTATGAGCTTCATGAGAATGAGCTTGGTTAAGTTACATATGGCTACATGCCTTCTTTGTGCAATGCATCAAGTATTTATTAACTACTAAAACTAAGTTGATTAATAAAACACACGTAAAATGGCTAGTACAGTGGCACACACTTAGTAAGGGTGTAATAAATATTAGTTATTGCAAGCATTCAGTGATGACCCTGGACATCAACTTTCATTTATGCTTAGTATCAACTTTTATTTGTGCTTTGTAATGATTCTTTTTGAATCTTTAGAAACCCAGCATTCTGTACCTTCCCCTAGAAAACATAATTATCTTTTGGTTAGATTGTGACCCATTCTTCTGGATTAACTTTTTTTTTTTTTTTTTTCGTTTCTTCTCTTTCTACCAGGGCAAACACTGTATACTTGATGTATCAGGAAATGCTATCAAGCGGTTACAAGTTGCCCAGCTCTATCCCATTGCCATCTTCATCAAGCCCAAGTCTCTGGAACCTCTGATGTAAGTAGAGGGAACTGGAGGCCTTCATCCTACCCTCTGTCCCATCTTACACAGCAAACCATTAACAACTCTTTGTCACAAACGCTTACAAATGGAAATACCACTGCTGATTTCTAAGCACTTTTGTTTTCAGAAGATATACTGTATTAAAGATTTTTTGAAGCCCTAGAGAGACATAATGTCAATAATTCCTTAAAATGTCTTCACAATATTCCATGATATATATTTTTCCATTTTCACAATTTTGTGTTGTTTTGTTTTGGAGGGGGATTGATTTAGTTTGGGTTTGTCGTTGTTGTTGTGTTGTTATTTTAGCCTCTTTACATTGGCATTTTGCTTTATTCTATGAAAGAATTCTGATGGCCCTTAATTAAATTCCACATATATAGGCCACTGGCCTTGAGGGTGTTTTCTTAGTGGCACAACAGTAAAACATGTATAATTCAAACCAGTAGCTTCATACCTGTGTGTATTTATGAACAAGAGAACACTTTTTCCAAGAGAACACAAGCAATCATGCCAGTGTCTGTGCTGCGAGAGCCTTGCTTGAATCCTGCCTCCGCTTCTGGCTTCTAGACCTCAGAGAGTTCAACTGAGTTCAGAAAAGAACCCCAAAGTACTGGTAAAGAATGTTTATGGAAAGATCAAAGAAAATGAAAACTGTTACTTGCAGAGGATACTGACTAACTGTACACTGTCTCCTCTGAGGATGAAAAAGCCAAGTGAGCTACAGTAGCTGGAATTACAGCCTAAGAGAATAAAGCTAAATATATAATTGATCTTTGGGGCAATTGCCAGAGATGTACCTTAAAAACAGAATATATTCATAAATACAAGATGGACAAGGGGTCTTACTGCAATGAAAAAAACAGAACCAGGAGGCCACTGACAGTACCATGAATTTAAAAGTTAAATACAATGTGAGAAGCTTTGCCTATAGTTGGCATATGGAAAAATACGTGCTGATAAAATGATGGTTACCCGTATCATTATCCTCAACAGCACGCATTATATTTCTTCACATCTTGGATACTGCATTGAGCATTGCACAAAGTAAATTAAGCAACCACAAATTTCATTACATAAAACTAATTTATGAACTGTAAAAAGCCACATACATATTATCAGTAATGTTAACATTAATAAGAAGAATAGAAAAATGGCCTTTACCCCCTGGGAACAGCATCTTCAAGCCCGTTTTAGAAACAGAAAACTAAGTTTTCACGTCATAAACATTCAGTGAAATAAATAGCTTCCCAAGGAAGTGAGGCCTGAGGGAGAACAGCAGTGGCACATTTGGTCTGGGGTGAGATTGGCAGACCTTCCTATCTGGCGTTCAGTAGAAGGTCTACTTCCTTCCACAACTATGAGATGACTTATTTAGTGTTGCCTTAGGGCACTGTCCCAGCCACTTATCACCAAGGATAATTTAAACATCCTGAGGGCCAGATTCCACAGTGAGGATGATGAATCTGACATAATTTGTTGCAGCCATATTCATGGGTCTGGAGTGCAATAATAGTAACATTCAGACCAATGTGAACTTATTATTAAATGCTGGATGTTTACGTTCTAGTCCGCTTTTCCAAAGGTTTTCCTTCAGAAGCAAGGCTGGCATGAATTGCTCATTCCCAGACAGGAGTAAACGTTAGGTCAGCCAGAACAAAAGTGTGGCAGCTGTCACATGTAGGCATTGATACATCATTGCACACGTTACTTCTCAAGTGCATCATACACATCAAACCACAGAGCATATTAGCACATGCATAGCCAACTCTTCAGAGAGGCATAAAATCAAGGGTGTGCATGAAAGACAGGATCTTTTTATATTGTGCCACCACGTGACTTCTGACTTCCCCTTGGCAATAAGGAGCTTTCCCATGCTTCTTCACCTTGCTATACCCAATCTGCTTCTTCCCTCTTGCTCCCAAGCTACCTTATGTTACTCTATCTTCAACTATATTGTAATGTTTATTTGTCTGCCTTCCCATTCATTCATTCAACAAATATATGTCAAGGCAGGCTTCATGCAACATGCTGATGAACAAGCCATGGTCTCTGCCCTCAAGAAGCTTGTAGAATAGGTAAAGAAGCAAAGCAAATTCATATAAAATCCATGGCTGCGGAGTCAATTCTGACTCCTAGTGACCCTATAGGACAGAGTAGAACTTCCCCATAGGGTTTCCAAGGAGCGCCTGGTGGATTCCAACTGGTGACCTTTTGGTTAGCAGCCTGAGCTCTTAACTACTTGGCTACCAGGGCACCAAATTCATATACTAGAGGGGAAAAAAAACCCTAAACTAAGCCATTACTACAAGTGTAAATGGAATTCAAGTAAGATAGAGGCCAGCATAAGCTGGGTAAGTCAGAGAAGGCCCAGGAGGTACATGATTTCTTGAGATCTGAAGCAAAACGTGTATTTCTCTGAAGAGTGTCCCTTGGTTTAGCCGACATCTTCTGCACTCAGGAGTGACATCTATTCACAGCTTATCTAGTACTAGGACATCTGTTTAGGGGGAAGATTACAGACACTGTCCCTCGGGACAAGATGAGTTTGTTTCAGTAACAAGAGCTCAGGAAATTCCCTCTTCTTCATATTGCAGCTTTCAGCATCATGCCCAGAACCATGCTGATGTCTAACTTCAGTTTTTGTTTTCTCCAAACAAGAGTCTTTTTTGAAAGATATTAAGTGTTGGTATAATGGGAAGTCTGTCTAAGAGCTGGTTTAAAAACGAACAAACAAACCTTTAGTTCTAACCCCTGATTTACTCTTTATTAAATGTACAGTTTTAGGCAAGACCCTTCACTACTTCAGTCCTCAATCATTTGCTCTGAAATAAAAGAACTGGCTAGAGCAGGGGTTCCAGACCCCTATCTCTGGCTTCCTAAGCAGCAGGCAAAAGCAGTAATGCTTTCAGAAATTCTATTATATACCTCTGATGTATCCCAATGGACCAACCAAAATGTCTTTGCTTTTGGCTGAACTTCTATCAGCTTAGTGCAGTCACACTGGTATTCCTATGATAATCGCAGGCCCTGATTGTCAGTCTTTGATTAGAAAATAATGGGAAGATAAAAGAAATTTTATTTAGTAGATGCAATTTGTTTGGCAGGCAAAAATGTTAACACATGGAGGACACAGGAGCAGAAAGCTGCCACGCACGGTTAGGAATCAGTTGATTAGGTTACTTTCAATTTCCGTCTCATTTTGATTTGTCCTTGTCTTCGTTTCCTAGGGCTTCCGTAACAAAATACCACAACGTGGGTGGCTTTAAAGAACAGAATTTGATTTTCTCACAGTTCTAGAGGCCGAGGTCCAAATTTAGGATATCAGCTACGCTGATTCTTTTGAGGGCTCTGAGAGAGGAATTGTTCCATGTCTCTCTCCTAGCTTCAGGTTTCTGCTGGCAACCTCGGAGTTCCTTTGCTGCTTGTAGAGGGATCCTCATGTGCCTTCTTACTCTGTGTAGGTGTGTGTGCGTGTGCGTGTGTGTGAACTCTCTCCTTTTATATCATACCACGCAGAAGGGATTACGGCTAGGACCCACTCTCCTCCAGTATGATTTAACTGATAATGCCTTAAAAGAAAGACCTGATTTCTCCCAACAGTGTCACATTTACAGGCACAGGGGTTAGAACTTCAATATATCTTTTGGGGGACACAATTTAATCCATCACAGTCCTTATAGCTAAGTTGTATTTAAATAATCTTACAATGATTTGATAAGCACATGGGCAATTTTAGCAGTTTGTGGTCTCCCCATACACATACTAACAGTAACACAATTGAAATCATGTGAGTTGGAAGCAGCTAGACCTAAGTACTCCCAGCCACCAGAGCAAGTTTATTAACCCACCCGAGTTTCAGTTTTTTTCATCTATAAGATGCAAAAGATGCCACCTTTTTTTAATAAAGTTGTAAGGAGGCTTAGCTGAGTTCAGGTATTCACAGGATGTTACCATCCACTCACTGACTGACTCAGAGTGAGTGCTCAGGATTGTTTGTGGGAATTCTTATCACTTGATAAGCAACTCAAGTACAGTTAATGACACACAATGTTTGACAGACTGGCAGAAAGGAAGGGACAGAGTCCCAGACATAATTCCCTTACAGCTCCTTCTTCTATGAGAAAACAATAAACAAAGTAGGCATCAGAGATTCCTTCCTATGGAGCTCCTGTATCCTGGCTCACTATCTGACTAAATTACTTGCTTATAGTCTATTTGAAAATATTTTGATCCCAGTGCTTTTGATTGTTACATTCTCTCTGTGCCCATTTTAATTCAAGCCTTCTTCAGCAGATCTTTGAGATATCGTTTGATTATAAAAACAGAGGAAGTCCAGGCTATTGCGCTATAGGCATGCCTTGCTATTTGCAGAAATTGAGTAGTGAGAGCTGCAGAATGACTTTTCAGCCTGGAATATACACATGCCTAAGGGGCCTGTCCCATTTTCCATAATTCTTTGGAAGCACTTTGTGTGTTTCTTTACTCCTCATGTCTCCTGCTACATATTAAAGATGATCAGCAGCCCTTAGGAAGGATGTGAAAGTTGAAAACTCAAAAGCATTTTGCACGGCTGTGAACAGTCAAGTCTAGTTCTCTCAAATGTGATGAGGCTCAATAGTCTGGGATACATCTTTGCTTCTCTCCATCTCTTCTCCTTCTGGTCTCCCCTGGAAGATTTTATTCAATTATATATCCCATATTTAAAAGAGGTTGAGATAGCCTCCAATGAGATCTGAAGAAGAATGCCAAGGAAGGTTAGGATTTGGAAATTGTATCCGATGAGAGAGCAAGGAAGTAGGACAGTTTATTCTGAGGAAGACTCAAGGGACACATGAGCACTTTACTTAAATACTCTGAGATCTTTCATGGAGGAAGGAAGTTTATTTCTACTCCCTGTGACTACAGGGGACAGAACATGGACCATGACTAGAAACCATAAAAAGACACATGGAACCAAGAGTCAGCCAACTGAGACCGTGAGCTTCCTGGCAGGGAGTCCTTATTGCTGAAATCATCCCAGCAAAGAGGAGTTCTGAATGAAGACTAGGAAGCCACTGCGAAGATTTCCCTGTGCTTCCTGGAGGAGTCATTTTTGCTATAAAACCAAAAACCCATTGCCATCGAGTCGATTCCAACTCATAGTGACCCAATAGGACAGGGTAGAACTGCCCCATAGGATTTCCAAAGAGCGGCTGGCAGATTCGAACTGCCGACCTTTTGGTTAGCAGCTGAGCTGTTAACCACTGCACTACCAGGGCTCCATTTTTGCTATACATTTCAATTTTTCAGGATTTGGTATATTCCCTTTGTGTTCTAGCTAACACTAAACCCTCATTTTCCCAGGGAGATGAATAAGCGTCTAACAGAAGAACAAGCCAAGAAAACCTATGATCGAGCAATTAAGTTAGAACAAGAATTTGGTGAATATTTTACAGGTAAGTTCAGTTATCCTTGTATTGTAAAAAGGCAGATGAATTGTCTCACATTTAACAAGGAGATGACTCTGGGCCTGGTAGACCTGGGCACTAAAACCTCCCTGTTGAGAATCCCTAATATCTGTTTCATGGGCAGGGAGTCTCCCTCTGCTTCAGCCATTTGATTCAGAACTCTGGCTTCAGCTGCAGCCAGCTTTCCAGTTTACCAGTGGTTTTATCAAACTGCCTCTTTTGCCATGAGACCAGAAGAACTGGATGGTGCCTGACCACCATCACTGAACATTTTGATCAAAGATTCTATAGAAGAATCCTGGTCAAAAGAGGGAAAATGGAGAACAGAATTTAAAATTCTCATGGATTCCAGACTTCCTGGAGCCAAGGGGGCTAGATGAAACCCTGAAACTATTGGCCTGAGATAATCTTTAAACCTTAAACCAAAAATATTGCCTGAAGTCTTCTTAAAACCAAACAATAGCCTTAAACCAAAAATATTGCCTGAAGTCTTCCTAAAACCAAACAATA